AATTTTTGATTTGGATCCCAAGTAGGTAAATATTCAGGATATTTGGCTAGTTGTTTATTAGTTGAATTGACAGTGAAAGCACCATTTTTAGTTTTGTTATTATGGGCTTTTTGAAATTGGGAAGCATCATATTTGTCAGCATCATAAACTGGAGACATTTTGTGATTGAGGAGTTACTTGAAATTCAAATTCAACAAAGTTACATAAATAATAAGTTGAATAGTTTTCAATCTATTTATATGGTGTGTATGATTGCCATCTACATGGCGCAACTCCATAATCCCTATTTCATTTTGATGATTGCAAATCGCAGCCACAGTTGCAAATAACAAAATAATTTGAAAGAAGCAATACGCTCACCCAAAAATTGTGGAGTACATTCAACTTTCTAAACGAAACATGGAAAAATGCCACAGTCACACACCCACATGCGGAGCAATAATGGGCTGATAATAATGTAACTTATTCCGGGGTAATCGGATTACTAAATACACAATAGGGTCACTTCTATGGCAGCGAACCTGAATGGGGAAAATAATCCCGATATAGGAGTTCAACCGAGGAGTACGTAAATTTGATTGGCTGGGAAATTTCAGTTTACGAAGATTGATCCACCTGGTAATGATTGAAGTTTGAGGTCGATAGGAAGTTAGTTCATTCAGAAATTGCAATCTCTGGAAACGTATTTGGCTATGAATAGAAGTATGAGTGAAAAATTCAGGCTGGTCGGTGAGGGCAAAAAAAAGGGACCACACCAGGATGCGGTGGTAAATCCATTTCTTTCCGAAACAACCTTTTAAGATGTATAAAGTTTTAGCATGTGGATCCAATGGTAATTATCAATTGGGTATAAGAAATGATATTGATCAAAATATTCTTCAAGAATCACAATTCCAAATAGGACAAGATTCAATTGTAACATCTCTTCCCCAAAAACCTATCAAGATAGCATGTGGAGGAAATCATACCTTAATTCTCTTTGAAAATGGAGATATTTATTCCACAGGGGAGAATCAATACGGACAATGTGGACTTCCCAAATGTGGTAATATAAAACTACTTACTAAAATCCCTGGAAATTGGATTGATTGTTGTTGTGGATGGGAGTTCTCCATTTTGATAGATGATAAGAGGGAAGTATATGTATGTGGAAATGGGTTAAAAGGTGAATTGGGACTAGGCAAAGAAATACGACAGAGTGAGTTGTGTTTTTCATTTGCGATACCCACTGATTCGAACTTCGAAATTAAAGCGTCTATTCATCATGTCATCCTACGCATAGACAATATATTGATGGGATGGGGAAATTGTAGAAAAGGTCAATTGGGAATAATTGACGAAAAGAAGCCGTCAATTCTTTGGCAGCCAAGAGAATTGAATTTCCCGAATATAATAATAAGAAAAGGAACTACGAAGTTTACTCTTGGTAGAGAGTTTACATGTATTTCCAATGAAGATCGAATCTCAATATTTGGAAAGCACTCCATTGAACTTGATTCGGATGTTAGTGACGTTTTAGAAATAGGCTCAATGTGGTCCTCTTTACATATCCTTTTGAAGAACAATACAATTAGGTCATTTGGAAACAATAGCCATGGACAGTTATATCCAACTGTTAGTGATTTCAAGGTTGATGAAATGGTTATTGGTAGTGAACATGGTTTGGTAAATTCAAGCAATACAGTCTATAGTTGGGGTTGGGGTGAACATGGTAATTGTGGTATACAACAACAAGGACAAAGCAATGCTGACGAGGTAACGTTCAATTACTTAAATCCAGTATACACAGATTCAAGTGAAGTAGTCTTGGTAGCAGCTGGATGCGCTACTAGTTGGGTAGTCATCAAAGTAGAGTAATTTAGTAAAAAAATGTCACGAAGTATCTTTCCCATATTCATCTAATGCGTTAAAAGAATTAACAAACAGTGCACAAGACACCATCAAACCCTTTGGTTGCTCAAAGATGGAAAATATGTTCGACGTAGTTTATCTAGGATGATAGAATAACAATCAATACATTTGGCCATTTTCATTCAGACTAGCATTCCAAGAAAAGAACTTTGTACTGAATAACCATTCATTGAGTATCTTCTTTTTCTCACCCATAAGGAATAATATCATTTATTAATTACATAATAATGAAGCGATTCCTTCGCTTCGATCACCATGTGCTAATGAGTTTATTCTAGTTGTATAGTGATTAGAGAAGAAACACCATCTAGAAGTTTTGAAAGTCTTTTTAAAAAAAATTCTTTTGTAGAAGAGATGGCTTGTATCCGGGTAATGGTAAAGTGTGGCAATCTCGAAACGCGAAACCTCACATTATTTACCTCCAACACCAAGTAATTCTAGAGCGATATAGAATGCGGAGTAAATAACAACAGACACAGAAAAGACACCAATATGACCATGTTTGGAGCAGTGTGTTCAGGTAGACCTATTCAATTGGCTGAACAGGTTGATTCTACGAAATATGTGATAACTATTCCTAATGCAGCAAATGTATCCCACATTACAATATTTTTACTACCTAATTCAACTTTTACTGATGTTAATTATACAGCCTTGATCTATTTTCAATTACCCAATAGTCAAGAGTATAAGCTATTAGGTGGAATTAATCCAAATAAACCTTCAGCTATCTATAAGTTGAACAATAATACTAAGAAAGTAGATACTGACAATTTTGACATGGGCGAAGATATGATTGAGTCAAATGATACAACTGTAATCAATATAGGTATTTCGATTGAACCTACGCTCAATGCGGAGCAGCTTATACTCCAAGAACAACATAAGCAATCCATGGTCGTAGCGAAAGCGGGGACCATTCCTGCACCTGCTGACACTGCACAATTGGCAAATAAAATTGTTGGACACGCATACAATTACTTAGCCAGCTTTATAGATAATTCAGGTAAAGTACCTATAAAAGCCTTTGATAATTGGTGGGATAAATTCAAAACTAAGTTGGCAAATAATCCTAACTTTCTCGATGAGTTGCAGAATTAGAATTTTTGGTTAGATTCTCTACATATAGTAAATAGTTCATGAAATGCTTAAACTAATACATGACCGAAATAGTTACTGTAGAGTTTACATTTGGATGGTTTGCAGTTCTATTTGATAATAACACTACCTCGAATGTTCATTTCTTTTTGAAGGATTTGTAATTCTAATATGTCATCCATAATCATGCCATAAATACGATTTGCAGTCACCTGTCTTGATGCAATTTCTAAGGAAATGCAAAACAATATAGACTGTGGTTTTACTAAGCTAAGGCCCATCGGATTTATATTGCCTTGTGCACGTGACATAGCGTAATTCCCACTAAAGCAATTGCCGTGCATTTCTTTTTTTTTTGCACACGGAGATTTTTTTTTTTTTGGAGATTACCTAAAACAGTTTGGTCATCGGACAGTTTTAAAAAAATATTTGATTCCATGCAGGATAATGCCATTATTTTTTTATTCGACTAAGAAACTTTTTTTGGCTTATAAATCGATAAAAAACTATAAATTGTTATAGATGTCTCAACTGCAAAAAATCTAATAAATTGTGTTTTTCTTCTTCTTCTTCTTCTTTATAATTACCAAAACAACCAATTTTACATAATAGACAACAATGACCATTGAATCAGAAACCCAATACTCCTTCGGTACTAAAGCTGTCCACGCTGGTGCTCCAATTGATCCAACTACTGGTGCAGTCATTGAACCAATTTCCCTTTCTACTACTTTTGGTCAATCTGAACCATCTAAACCTTTAGGTATCTATGAATACTCCAGATCTGCCAACCCAAATAGAGATAACTTTGAAACAGCAGTCGCTGCTTTAGAACAAGCTAGATATGCTATTGCTTTATCTTCTGGTTCTGCCACAACCGCCTTGATTGTTCAATCATTACCTGTTAACTCACACATCATTTCAAGTGGTGACGTCTATGGTGGTACCTACAGATACTTCACTAAGGTTGCTAATACTCATGGTGTTGAAGCCACTTTTGTTGGTGATTTAGTCTCCGATTTAGCTGGTGCTTTAAGAGAAAACACCAAATTAGTTTGGTTAGAAACTCCTTCCAACCCAACCTTACAAGTTACTGACATTGCTAAGGTTGCTCAAATCTTAAAAGATCACGAAGTTGCTACTGGTAACAAAGTTTTATTAGCCGTTGACAATACTTTCCTTTCCCCATATGTTTCCAACCCATTAACTCATGGTGCTGATGTCGTTGTTCATTCTGTTACTAAATATATCAATGGTCACTCAGATGTTGTCATGGGTGTCTTAGCAACCAACAACTCCGATTTACACGAACAATTCAGATTCTTACAAAATGCCATCGGTTCTATCCCATCTCCATTTGATTCTTGGTTGGCTCATAGAGGTTTAAAGACCTTACACTTGAGATTAAGACAAGCCTCCAGTTCTGCACAAAAGATTGCCGAATATTTATCGCATCATCCTTCTGTCTTGAAGGTTAACTACCCTGGCTTAAAGGCACACAGAAACCATGATGTTGTATTGCGTCAACACAGAGACGGTTTAGGTGGTGGTATGATCTCCTTTAGAATCAAAGGTGGTGCTAAAGGTGCTTCTGTCTTCACATCTGCTACCAAGTTGTTCACTTTGGCTGAATCTTTAGGAGGTATTGAATCCTTGATTGAAGTCCCAGCTATCATGACCCATGGAGGTATTCCAAAGGAAGAAAGAGAAGCTAACGGTGTCTACGATGACTTGGTTAGAGTTTCTGTTGGTATTGAAGATTCTGATGACTTGTTAAAAGATATTGAACAAGCTTTGAAGAAGGCTGCTTCCGTTTAGATTTGAAAAATCTTGTGTGTATATTAGTAATGTAATTGTTTGATTTTTTATAGTGATAGAATTGCAAATAGAGAATTTATTTATTTAATAACTGGAACAGATGTAGTTATCCTCTAACATGCAGCTTAACACCATTGATTCAAGCATCTCTTATAATGAAATCAATTGGTAGAAGCGTTGTAAACTTCCTTCCATTTTTGTTTTTTGCAACCAAACGAAAATTTTCTCGCATAATTATAACAAAAATTCCTAAAGCGAAAGAGAGCTGACCGTCACATATATATAATAACTGAACAATTTGAGAAATAATGTCAATGCTTGAACAAGATATTTTGCTGAGATTGTATCTAAGATTGGTTGTGCCCTAAAATCTCAAAATCATAGAAAGGGATAAAGACGGAAGCAATGGTGGTTAGCGGTGAAGGACAAGTATGTGTTCAAGCCGTCAACCAAATAAAGTATTAGAGAAACAGTAAAAGAAGCGACTTTACGTCATCGTATACATAGGTCTCCAGGAGGGTTTGGGTAGCTTTTGCGGTGGTATTTTGATAGATCAAGATCAGATTGTAATGATATAAGAAGGTAGATTGTTTTCCACACTATTTGAAGCAAATCGGAAGAGGGTCGTTGAAAATTTGACGCCAGAAGAGAATCCTATTTAGAATACAGCCCACAGTACATTTATATTCATATAAAAAGAAGACACTTATCAAAATATGAAATTCAAAAGTTCTCATTGGGGAGACTTCATAAATTTAGGAAATACTAGGATTCTTTTGTGGTTGTTAGCTTTGACAGAAATTTACAAACCCTTCTTTTCAAATACGCCTGAGTTTTATTTTGTGTATGAACATTTTTGTGGTTGTGCAATTATAATAGTAATAATGTAAAAAAGTATGCAAATTTGGTTGCAAATTTTTTGTGGTTGCAAAAAATCTCAAGTATAAATAAACCTGGAAATCCCCTAGAATTCAAATTTTTTGTTTTCTTCTTTTCCCTTTTTCTTTTTCTTTTTCTTTTCTTCTTTCATTAATTATCTCTTTCCACATTATCACATCTTTCTGTCAATCATTTCCTTCACTCATTCATCTACTACTTATGTCATCTATAATGTTGTTTTGTCTCCCACTTTTGCCTCATATTCATTTATTCATTGCTTGTTCATTCTTTTATCCATTCATTAATTTGTTCCTGTCACAGATAGTTTCTCCTTGTGTCATTCATTCTTTAGTTCATTCATTCAATTAGTCAGTCTTTGTATCCCACATTCCATGCTTCATTTGTCTTCTGTCATTCTTCATCCATTCATCCTTCTTCACTTATATATCCTATTACTTCATCTAACCATCCATCTGTCACCAACTGAGTTCAAAATATGACCTTTCAACTGCTTTGTTCTTGATACTTTTCTCAGAATATTGGAAGGAATGGTACAGCCTTTCCAACACTGACAGCTTCTCTTTGTTAGATTAAGCAGCTCTAAATAGGATGGTGTTGAAGGATGGAGACAATCAAGGAATGAACAATGACTGCCTGATTGAATGAGCTAATGAATGAATCACAGGAGGAGCTAGTCTGAGAAGGGATAGATAAATGGGTAAAAGGCGTGGATACGCGAATGTTGTAGTATGGGGCATGTGGTGTAGGCAGTGGGCTGGGTTGGGGGGTTCAGGTTAGGTTGGGGGGCATGTGGTGTAGGTAGTGGAAACTATGATGAGCGGAATTCGCCAAGCTGTAATCATATTTGTAAACTCCCGTTTGTAAACTTCAGTTTGCGAGCTTCTTTTTTGTAAATTGTGCAACCACAAAGAGATATTTTAACCAGCAGTATTTCAACCACATGTTAACGAAGTTGATAGATCAATCCCAGAATATGATGACACAAGACGAGAGCTTACTTTCCCCACTATATGAAGCAAATTGGAAGAGGTTTGGAAATTAGTCGCCCACAGAAATTCGTTTTTGTGGACTTCATTTTGTAAACATTTCAACCACAAATAGATATTTCAACAAGCATTATTTCAACCATATGTTAATCAATTTGATAGATCAACGTCAGAATGTGATGACAATAGAAGAGAGATTATTTTCCATACTATATGAAGCAATTTGGAGGAGGGTCGAAAATTAGCCGCCCTCAGAAATTCCTTTTTGTAAACATTGCAACCACAAACAGATATTTCAACAAGCAGTATTCCAACCACATGTTAATCAAATTGATAGTCGTTAGCTACAAGTACAATTCACGAAACGAATGAAAAATATATGTTCATGAAGGGATACTAATTTCGTGGGTGTAGAAGCGGTCCACAGCGCGGTCATTACCTTGATGGGGTCTGTTTCGTTTGGTAGGTTGGGTCTAACTACTTTATCTCCATAAAATAGGGCCGTGAAAGCCCTAAAAAAGGTGTGGAGTGTGGGAAAGAATTATTCATTATTGACTAGTTATGTGGCGAAAGGTTCTTCACGTCCAGTCAGTCTTCTTATCAGCTTTATATTGTAATGCTATTTATAATCCTGTCATAGAGGGGCCCTTTTTGTTAACTGATTCCATAAAAAGTTTGGTTTCAAAAGCTGACCATGGTACATGTAGAATGATCAAAGTGTGGGGTAAAAACCCGGTTCAATGAATGAATTAGATAATGGGCATTTGCCGTACAGAGTTGAATTTTTCTCTGGTGTTCGGATGCTGCCTAAAACAGGTTTTTCCAAGAAAATAAAAAATATTTTCATTTAATGCGCAACAATAGAATTATTATCTCATTGAGTAGAATAAACTATGAATGAAATTAAGAGATACCGATGGCATCCTAAAGTTAACATTAGCTATTGTTGCTTATACGATTAAGAGAGTTTTTTAGAGTTATGGACCTTGGAAATTATTTAAATGGTTACAGATTTCCCTGAGTTGCAAAAAACGTGAATCCTTCTTTTAGTATGTTACCCATCGATACTTCACAAATGACTATTATTTCCGAATCTCAATACTCTTTTGGTACTAAGGCTGTTCATGCCGGTGCTCCAATTGACCCATCAACTGGTGCTGTTATTGAACCAATCTCCCTTTCAACTACTTTTGGTCAATCTCAACCATCTAAGCCTTTAGGTATTTACGAATATGCTAGATCAGCCAACCCAAATAGAGATAACTTTGAAACCGCAGTCGCTGCATTAGAGCAAGCTAGATATGCTATTGCTTTATCCTCCGGGTGTGCTTCTACTGCTTTGGTGATTCAGTCTTTGCCAATTAATTCCCATATCATTTCAAGTGGCGACGTCTATGGTGGTACCTACAGATACTTCACTAAGGTTGCTAATACTCATGGTGTTGAAGCCACTTTTGTTGGTGATTTAGTCTCCGATTTAGCTGGTGCTTTAAGAGAAAACACCAAATTAGTTTGGTTAGAAACTCCTTCCAACCCAACCTTACAAGTCACTGATATTGCCAAGGTTGCTCAAATCTTAAAAGATCATGAAGTTGCTACTGGTAACAAAGTTTTATTAGCCGTTGACAATACTTTCCTTTCCCCATATGTTTCCAACCCATTAACTCATGGTGCTGATGTCGTTGTTCATTCTGTTACTAAATATATCAATGGTCACTCAGATGTTGTCATGGGTGTCTTAGTAACCAATAACTCCGACTTACACGAACAATTCAGATTCTTACAAAATGCTATTGGTTCTATCCCATCTGCTTTCGATTCATGGTTAGCTCACAGGGGCTTAAAGACCTTACATTTGAGATTAAGGCAATCCTCCAGTTCCGCCCAGAACATTGCAGAATATTTATCACACCATCCTTCTGTCTTGATGGTTAACTACCCTGGTTTAAAGGGCCACAGAAATCACGATGTAGTCTTGCGTCAGCATAGAGACGGTTTAGGTGGTGGTATGATCTCCTTTAGAGTAGTGGGTGGTTCCAAGGGTGCTTCTGTTTTCGCATCCTCTACTAAATTATTCACTTTAGCTGAATCTTTAGGTGGTATCGAATCATTAACTGAGGTTCCAGCTATCATGACCCATGGTCGTATTCCAAAAGAAGAAAGAGAAGCTAATGGTGTCTACGATGACTTAGTTAGACTTTCTGTTGGAATTGAAGATGTCGATGACTTGATCCAAGATATTGAACAAGCCTTGCAAAAAGCTGAATCCGCTTAAATTTGGTTTGTTTAGGTATGCAAGTATTGAAATTGTTTGTCTTTTTATAATTTATATAGGATAGTAATCTCCAATAGAAAATCTATAATCGTGTAATAGTTGCAGAGTACTAGTGAACTTTATGCAATGGACTTGGTCTAGCTTGTATCTCTTCCGTAGAAATATTACTGTAAGTCTTTTTTTAGATTATTCATTTTCGATGAATAGAAACCTTCTAATGGCAGTTTCTACTGTGTATTTACACTTCTTATGCATGTTGCTTATGATAGGCTCAAAGTGATCTCCCGCAAAGCCAACAAATGGATTCAATCACCCCTTTCTGGATTCGATTCGGCATTAAAAAGTTTGCAGTCATTCGTCTCAGCGTCTAACTACAGGTATCTCCAAAAGTAGTCTGAATCGGGAAATAGCGGGGCCGTCGCAACTTCATTGGATGCCACAATTTTTAAGGGTTTGATATTATAAGCGGAGTGCATTGGCCGTTTGACACATCAATGCCAAAAGAATGGAGAGAAATAAGGACTATTCTTAAAATAGAATGACTGGCATCGCCATTAGAAATCTAAGAGGAATTAGCCGCAAACAATGACAAGTGAAATTTCAATTACAGAGGTTAAGTACTTCAAACTCCAAACTTCGGGGATTGAGTTGCCAGAGTCACTTGCGGGAGTGACTGGTGCCTAATTTGGAAATACAGGCTTAGGTTGAGTCCGCTCCTCAGTCACCTATCTTTATCTAATCATGGCCCCGCCTATTGTTAAAGTTTCATCTGTTCGACTCTTCTTGACTGTGGGTCGCTCTTTTGTAATACACAAAATTTCCTATTTGGGAAAACAATGTCGGCACCATTACGTCCACCGCCCAAGTGACGGGGTAAATAAAAGCGAAATTATTTTATTAGAAAGATAATCGGCCCTGTTTCTTGAATCGAGGGGTATACACGTATAGCATTTACGATGAAACAATGAGTCTTTTGTGTTGAGAGATCTTATCTTCGCATTTATGATACTTTACACAATCAATACACGGCATGCATTAGTTATCCCCCCCTCACCATATATTTCAGTTCAAATGAACTTCGTGCATCACCTTTGTTCACAATTGCGTTCAAAATTAGTTATTATATAATAGGTGTAAAAGAACTCCAATTTTCAAACTTTTTATTCCCTTTTGAATCAAGCCCATTTATTTGCAATGCTGCTGGAATCAATTACTAACATGAGCTCTCCCATGGGCAATAAAGAAAAACCTACGGTTCAACTTGAAATTCAAGATTTAGAGTCCAACTCTTCACTTGAACTTGACCAACAAGATATAGCTCATACTGAAGACCTTAATAGGGCGTTATCAGCTAGACATGTTAATATGATCACCATAGCGGGAGTCATTGGTACTGGTCTTTACTTAGGTACTGGTAAAATGTTGGCCACTGGTGGACCATTATCCCTATTATTAAATTTTATGGTTGTGGGTCTAGTTGTATTTTTTATGATGCTTGCTCTTGGTGAAATGTCTGTTCAATTCCCTATTTCGGGTTCATTCACTGTATATGCTAAAAGATTTGGTAATGAATCCCTTGGTTTTGCAATTTTGATCAACTACTGGTTTAATGACTGTTGTTCGGTAGCCGGTGATTTAGTTGCCATGCAATTGGTTTTCCAATATTGGACCGATTTCCACTGGTGGGTTATGTCACTTTTATTTTGGATACTTTTATTGTCGTTAAATGTTGTTCATGTTAGAGCATACGGTGAAAGTGAGTATTGGATGGCGTTACTTAAAGTTGTAACTATCGTTATATTCTTTATTGTTTCCATCGTTTGTAATGTAGGCAAGAATGATACGCACGAATATATTGGATTCAAGTATTGGAGCTATGGTGACGCACCATTTGTCAATGGATTCAGAGGTTTCAGTTCCCTTTTCGTTTCTGCTGCATATGCCTTGGGTGGACTTGAATCAGTTTCCTTAACTGCTGGTGAAACTCGCAATCCTGTTAAGGTTATTCCTAAAACCATTAAAGCGACTTTCTGGAGAATCATGATCTTTTACGTCTTCACTTCTTTTTTCATTGGGATGAATGTTCCTTATGATTACCCTAACTTAATGACCAAAACTGTTGCCACTTCTCCATTCACTATTGTTTTCCAAAGAGTTGGTGCCAAAGGAGCTGGTAGTTTTATGAATGCTGTCATTTTAACTTCAGTCATTTCTGCTGGAAACCATGCTTTGTTTGCCGGTTCTAGGTTAGCTTTTAATTTAGGTAGTCAAGGATATTTCCCTAAGGTTTTTACCAAGTTCAACAGATACAAGGTTCCATATGTTGCAGTAATTGTCACCTGGTTGATAGCAGGGCTTTGTTTTGGACTGGCTTTTGTCGGTGCTGGTGAATTATGGTCATGGTTGCAATCTATTGTCGGACTTTCTAATCTTATTTCTTGGTGGCTTATTGGAGTAACTTCTATTAGATTCAGACGTGGGATGGCCAAACAAGGTAAAACTAAACAAATTTTATTCAAAAATTGGTCATACCCATTTGGCCCATGGTTTGTTGTCGTGTTTGGGGGATTTATTATTTTGGTTCAGGGTTGGTCAACTTTATCTCCTTTCATTGTTGCCGATTTCTTCCAAAGTTATCTTGAATTGCTTGTCTTCCCAATCACATATTTATGCTGGTGGATATTCAAGAAGAGATTCAAGGATAGGTTTGTCAAGCCCGAAGATATGGATCTTGATACTGATAGGTATATCCAAACAGATGAAGAATTGGAAGAGCTTGAATATGCTCAAAGTTTGAGTGGATGGCAGAAATTTAAATATAACTTTGTTGACAATTTCTTGTAATAGTTCTGATTTATATATATGGATTTCTTTTTAGTAGGTATTAGCTGGATTAATATTTATGTTTGCGTGTTTGGAAAGGCAAGTAGTGTGTAGCTTTGAATTGAACTCTAGAATGTGGGTACTGCTTCGCAATATTCCTAAACTAATTCATGATTCCACGGAAAGCAGAGTCTCTTCAAGAACGTCTGCCTCCTTGGAAGAACAATTTATGGACCCAAAGTATGACATGCAAGAAACTTCACAATACTATCTCAACGTTATCCGAAGGAGACTTGGCAAGATGCTTGTTAACAACTGCATTCATATCAACGGTTCCAAGTAGACTAAGTCGACAAGTGAACATATATACATTTTAAGATCCTTGTGCCAAATTATGTTCTTATGTTGAATAGTAACAATCATCGAAAATATTTACCTGTAGTTATACATATATATTTTGTAATTAGATATCTACTTCTTCTTTGCCTTTGCTCATTTGTTAGTTCTGAAGTTTTTCACATTCTATATTTTTTTTTTTTGCAACCAATTTTTTGAAAAACCGCTATCGATTGATTCAATTGCCCCTACTTCAACAATGGTCTTTCATTATCTATTAAATTTCCCAAGGAGTATATTGGAAACTGGTACATACTGGTACCCGTTAAGAGTATGTGTTGATATTCTTTTATTGATGAGTGAACATATATTAACAGTGTTTAAATAGGGATTATGCTATTTCGTGACTCACCCAAAACTTTGGCCATTTTATGCCACTATACTACTTCCTCAGCTTGTTTTGACGACCATCATCTACTGTTTAATGTTTATATTCATATTTCCCCTTGAACTGCCCTTCTATATTTTAATGATGGGTCCATTGGGTATAATAGTGGCTTGGTGGACAATTATTCAGCAATCCGGAACCATCTCCGTTTTCATTATTACCCTAACATTGATGCCTTTAATCCAACTGGTAGCTTATGATGCCGTCTTAAGCAGAGAGTGTTCTAATGATCTTGTATTATTAGCCAAATTGAGAAGGAAGGGTAAATCACCAGTGCATGCTCGAATAGGAAGGTATATACTATCACTACCAGATATGAAATTGTTCCCATTCTCACTAGTAAAGAGCTTCCTAATTTTTAGTTGCAATTTCGTTCCCGTTATGGGTCCAGTTTTTGTTATCTTATTAAGCTCATCAAAGAGAGGTCTACAAGCCCACACGAGATATTTTTCAATGAAGGGATACAATAAAACCCAAATCAGACAAATCCATGCTGATTACAAGGCAGAATATATGGGATTTGGCATTGCAGCCTTGATATTAGAAGGTATTCCTCTTTTAGGAATATTTTTCATATTCACTAATACCTTAGGTGCAACTCTATGGGTTGTCGATGTAGAAGCGAGTGAAACAAAAGGAAATGATGGTGATATTGAAATAGATGTTGCCGAATCATCTGCTATATCTAACTAATATAAATAAATATTATCCACGCAACCAAAACCTGCAGCCACGCCACCTTCATTGCTGGAACTAAATTTGGATCTTAATAACCAACCTGCATTTTTATTCGTATAAATTTCACCATTTGCTTCATTAAATAAAATGCTACCAAATACTCCTAATTCCGAAATTATATTTTCGTTATATACTTCGTTATTTCTAATAATCTTGTTTTTATAACTAGGTGGGTTTATGAGTTCCATTAAAATATAGGCACCCCAGTCGCTTTTATCTAATTTTTCCAAGAAACTTGGAATTTCCTCTTTATAGATATTATTACCGCCTCCTTCTCTTTGAGGCTTTAATACAAATCTTTCAGGAACTTCGAAAGCCAATTTTTGAGCTATTTTTCCTTCTTCTGAATCATCTAACGGATATATTGATACGAATGTTGACATTAATTTTTTAAGATCTTCTTGGCTGACAGTAGGCAACAATTTTTCAACAATTTCTTTCTTGGTCAAGAGTTGTTGAATCTTCTTTGCACCTGATAATTGAGTCAATATTGAAGGGCATTTAATTGCCAAAGATTTTTCTAAAATCAAACGCGAATTCCAGGTACTTTGCGGATTATGTTCATAATCATCTGGTGAATATCCTGCTCTGTAATAAACGACGGATACTTCATCCATAGTTGACTTAATATATAATTTATTCGAGTTGGTTGTCACTTTGCTTTCTATTTCTTCTAAAGTAAGTCTATAGGATTTAATGCCATGGTTTTTAAGTAAGGAGAATTCAATATGTCTTTGGTCGAAGCAGTTCCGTTCCTGTGGTTGTACAACAAATAAAACAACAGTGTCTTTATTTTCCAGTTGATTGTTATAAAAGTAATTCCCATCGGCTAAGCCCTGGGCCAATTCATTAATTGAGTTTGAAATTGGTATTTCCTGGCCCTCGTAATACACATTAGAATACTTGCTATCGTAGAATCCACTTGAATTTAAGTAATTATGTAATTCGCCGACTTTGGTAGATAATCCTCCGAAAGAGACACTGACAGTGTTAAACTCAATTTGTTTAATTTCATTTGTTTCGTTGTGTATCATATAATCTGATCTAAACAAGCCCAACGATAACGGTTGGGGAACTTGGCCATTAGAGGTCACTTCTTCATAAATTTCAAATAGTTTTCCAGTAAAATCTGAGTCATACTTTGACAACTCCCTTAACTCTTTAATCAACCATTCCCTTTCTTTAGATACTAAATTAATATATAATTCATTGAATATCTTTTGAACATCTTCGGCATTCTTGAAACTATTTCTAGGCATCGGAGTAGGGAATAACGTTATTGGGGCATTATTGGCACTACAATTGGAAAAGTTTGGGGGATACATAACTAATCCATTCCCAAGGCACCAATGGAGTAATGACTCAACTAGCTCCGATTCTTGTTCAGCAGACAATTCTGGAAATTCTTTAATCGACATCTCTTTGTCAGCTCTTCTCAAATAAACTGGCGGGGTCTAAGTCTGTTGTTTCTCTGAAAATGGATATCGGTGAATATCCAAACAACAGACAAGATTACCAACAAATCTCGTGATTTCGCGTGCCTGGTGTTACCGGAAATCTCCGATCTTACCCCAAACTACAAAGAAATGAAAAATTGCAGCCATACATCCTTCCTTTCCTTTCAAGAAATTACGAAAGCAAAGTAAGTAGTTGAAACTTTTTGAGTAAAATGTCTAATTCCTATTGATTTAACACGATAGCGGTAATTCATTGGAAACCACAATAAGTACAGAGCCCAGATATTTACACTATTAGAACAATTGCTTGCAATAAATGAGAGTCGAATAGAAATGCCCCGACCCCTGTGCAATGTTCATTTCTCTGACTTTGAAGCTGTGGAGATAAAAATGCCATCTTCAGCTCAATTTGTAAATTGTGGTCTCGAAGTTATTCGCTGTTAATAAATGTCTTGGCTGGTATTAATTAGAAAAGAACAGCTTTCAGGTAATGAGGTTCTAGGAGATTTACCACAAACTTTACCGCTATTTAGCCTTCTTGGTGAAGGTATGGCAGAGATACCAAAACGATGATCGAACGGTTGTTCTGAGTAGATTTGGAATAGCCAATAATACGTAATTACTAGTGTCAGTCACGTGCATCTCCTGAAAAAATAGGTCAGGAGCCCTATTCTTGGTCATCTTGCACGACTGACCCCTCTCAAGCTAGGACGAAAAAAATTTGGTGCGGATTTGGCAGGCATACTGGTAGTGAAAAATATTACTTAACGATTGAACAATCCTGTTGAGCTTCATATCAGAAACATAGTAATTACAAATCAAAAGTATGTGGAGTCATTTTAAATCAGCCGAGAGATATAAGACAATCAAAGAGAACTGTGTATAATACATCATTTTAAAACAACACCTAAAATTTTTAACCATATTGCAACCATTTTAAGATCCGAGAGATGTGGATAAGTGAAAAATGTCTATACTACTGAAAACCCGAAGATAGACCTCCGTTTGTTACTGGAACAGTCCTATTTAAATTGGAGGATATCGATACCTTGTTGAGAAGCAAAAAAGTAGTTCCGAAGACAACGATTTCTTATATAACTCTCAGGGTAGAGGAAGCCCAACGTAATACTAACATGAAACAGTGAAATACTTAGCTGCTTACTTATTATTAGTCAACGCCGGTAACGCCACCCCATCTGCCGAAGATATCAAGAATGTCTTAGCTGCTGCTGAAGTTGAAGTTGAAGAAGAAAGAATTGAAAAATTATTATCTGAAGTTGAAGGTAAGAATGTTGAAGAATTAATTGCCGAAGGTAACGCCAAGTTATCTTCTGTCCCAACTGGTGCCGCTGCTCCAGCTGGTGGTGCTTCCGGTGCCGCTGCCACTGAAGAAGCTGCCGAAGAAGCCGCTGAAGAAGCTGCTGAAGAATCTGACGAAGACATGGGTTTCGGTTTATTCGATTAGATTGAGTTAATCCTTTAATCTAAAATATTAATTCTAGCTTCACATTTTTGTCATGTATTTATAATGCACAGTTTTTAATGATTTTTGTATAATACAATATACGGGTCTACAAATTTTGAAAGTACTATACTACAATAGAGTTACATTGTTAGTGGTACTCACAGGAAGTAACTTCTATAACTCATCACCAAAGGATTTGCGTAATCCCATTGGATTTCCAAATATCGCATGTCTTGCAATTAGCATTTCTTTGTCAAATTCTTTGTCTTCATCTGAATAATCATCTCTTTTCTTATGTTCCTTTCTTGATTCCACTTGATCGGATAACCAACCCAAAAACTTCTTTGACGGCTTTAAATCCTTATTTCGTTGGTGCAATTCTTTCAACCTATTGAAGTATACTTTGAAATTGTCTGGATTGGTTCTACCATTGACGAAAGACTCTTGAATAAATTTGGAAACTTCGAAATCGGGTGTACTTTGTTCGATAGATCTTCTATCATTGCTCTTCCCAAATAGACTCAAATCTTCTAGAATATTGCTTGCTCGAATCCTCGATTCGGAGTCTAATTCTGGGTATATATCTATAATAGCGTCCAATCCACGACTGTTTTCGAACGAGAAGTATTTGGCAACGAATTTATTATTTTGAGTTAAAGCGTGTATTATTCCAAGAATCCTTTTTTGGATAATCCCATCAGAATGTCCATGTAATTGGTTAAATATACCAACTGAGAATGCATCACCGAAATTGGTTATAACGTTTTCGATTGCGACTGGATTGTTTCTTAAAGTTGATCCGATTATTCTATAAATCTTTTCCACAAATGTATTATCTTTGATGCTTTCAGCAAGCCTAAATAAACTATCAAAGATTTGCTTATCTTTTGTCAACTCAATCCCAAATTCTATGTCATGTGATAACTCTGTGAGCGTGTCCAACGCAGCAGCTAACCTCTCCTTATTTCCTTGGAAATCTTCAACTTCCAACACCGCAGAATCAAAATTGCTCAAGTCATCTCGCGAAGCCTTCGCTCTGTGAATACGACCATTTTGTATCTCGTTCCCATTGGTGTTCTCGTTCTTCATTTCGTGGTTCACGTCATTACTTCTATCGTAAACTTCTGCACTATCGCCAACCACCAATTCCTGTAAGTGATTTGTATCTTGTTCGTCAGGGTCCATGAATTTTGCTTCTCGCTTTAGGGTATCTATGTTTAATCTTACGTGCAATCCGGGTGGAATATCTTGGCCAGGTTTTATAATTTGCCAATCCCAACTTGGTTCAAATATTTTAGGATAGCAATCAGTTTTATCTTGGTTACAAATTAATTCTTCTTGCTTTTGGGCTGTTTCGTCTTCTATTGCTTTACTGAAGTACAAATAATAAACGATCGATAATAATATGGAATATCTCATTTAAGCTGTAAAGAAATATATGGAAAGAACTATGAAAGAGTTGCCTCTCATTCTCGGGACCATTTATAATAGACACGTACAGCATTGGGGTCGTGTACTTTGTTCATTTAATTGTTCTCGAAAGTATGGCTACCAGGTGATGTGCATTTTTTCTCGTTTTAAGTGGGGAAAGTTTATTTGATTAATTTCTTGTATTTTATTCAGAAACTATGAAAACCCAGGCCTGTAGTAGAAATTCCAACTGTGAGGTAATGACATCAGATAAAATGATGAAGTGATTCCTGTCGTACTTTGAGTTTATGAGGGCATACATATAAAAGGAACAGTGATTTGAATCATTGGATTTTTGTTTATTCCTAGGCTTCCTTGACACTCTTGAAAAGAATTTGAATGAAACCCTTTTCATATATTATAATAAGTTAGGATGGCTTAATCAATTAATATAAATTATCAGTGAAGGAAGACATTCTTGGATTGTTCTTTTAATAGTAAAGAACTGGACGAAAAACAGATGAAAAACCAAGTTTTTTTTTTGCAATCAGATATTTAAATATTGCAGCCATACTATCCGGGGGAACAAAAATAGGTAAACCTAACCAATTACTTCAAATCACAACAAATTTGTAATACATTATGTAAAGTTATCCACATATCTATAAAACTATAAGTAGACACACTTTGATAACTACTAGTTGTCTATCAAGTGGTATTCTTAAAATCATCACCTATGATGTTTGATTTATCGCACATCTCTCTAAATCCACTTCCTTCTCTACCAAAAACTTCCCGCGGAGTATCAAACTCAGCTATGTCTCCTTTATCCCTAACATGTATTCTATCATAACAATTATTTGTCTTCAACCTATGAGCAATACTCCGTCGCGATCGTCTTTTGAATGGTGTTATCCACTTATAGTCTACGGAAGAAGTAGCTTCATCAAGAATCAATATCTTAGTTTATCTAACCATTGCTGCAAAGGAAACCAATTGTTCACCTAGTGAGAAAATTTCCTCCTTCATCATCAACAGCTTTGCCTAAATGAGACTTTGGTAGGTCGTCAGATGAAGTATGTTTTTCAATTTCTTGATATTCTTTGATATCTTGGGGAGCAACAATACCCGATCTACCTAATGAATCCAATAAACTATTATCTTGATGTTCTTGAATGGATCTAAATTGTTTCTAATAGAATTATTAAACAGAGCAGGATCTTGCGCAACGATCGGTAATTTGGATCTCAAATCTAACCTTAGAAATATGAATCCCGTCAATACCAATTTTTAACTCACTCTAAGTCTGATAACCTGAAAGACGCTGTCACAATTGAAAAATTATAAACGCCTGTCCTACCACAAATTCCAACCACATAGACTTTCTGGTAACTATATGTTATTTCGGTAGTGCAACTTTGATACTGGATTTGCATCTATCATCTCCATTGTAACAGATTTTTCACCAATTGACCGATGAAGCAGGGTTTGGCTGCAAATTTTCAACCATTTTCCAGCTGAATAACACCCAAACATTCAAAATACTCCAACCATTTGTCATTCAAAAGTGAATATAGGAGAAAGAATAGAATGTCAAGTATGAGATCTATTGTGCCTTGTTAGCTGTCGTGTGAACTTTCCTAAACTATTTAATAATGTCATGATCAATAACACAATCTCTAAACATTGATTCTTTCGTTAAAATCCACTTATCTAGTTCTAGATTTTAAATCAATGTCTATCACCAATAATGCACGTAGAGCAATTATCAAAGTTGAAAAA